AAACTACTACTCTCTCTCTCTCTCTCTCTCTCTCTCTCCAGTGACCGGTCCCAAGTTAGTCGGCCGATTTTTTTAAAATCAGCTGACATTTTAAAGACTCTTTCCATAACATTCCAAAAGCCTTGATAGAAAATAAAAAAAAAAAAATGAAAAAGAGATGAACCAAGCACATACAAGACAATGGTGTTGCATTCCATTGAACATAAGGCAACCAAAATTTTTGCATGCACTTAAAGAAACAAAATGTCCCATTTCCATCATTACAAATATAACTATATCATGCACTTGAAAAAACATAATTAAAAAAAATCGAGCAACATTATCATGCACTTATCAAAAAGAAGAATCAATTTCATCAAAAAAATAATTTTATCAAAAAGAATAATTTTACTAAGCAAAATAGAAAAACATTTCCCATATTCATCACAAAACATAATTTTATTAAAAAATCATAATGCTATTAAAAATAATTTTATTAAGCAAAATAGAAAAACACTTCCCATATTTCATTAAAAAACATACTTTTATTAAACAAAATATTTTTTTATAAATATCGATTTTTCAAAAACCCCTAAAATTGAGCAACATTTCGAGCAAGAAACGACCCTCAATGTTTGGATAATCGAATGCACCAAATCTCATCAAAAAATATTTGGTATTTTTAATTTAATTGAAAAAATGGTAAAAATCTCAGATCTATGAAATTTTCATGATATGGTGCAACAAAAAAATTCATATTAAAACATTTAATCAATCATAAATAGACATACCTATTTTATTTGAGAGATTAAGCCTTGATGATCAAAATACACAACTTAATTTAATAAAAAAAGGACCAATAAATTGATAAAAAAGCTGTGTTTTTGGATCGAACGCATGTTCTTTGAGCAGCAACATTTCGGGCCAAAATCAACCCATAATATTTGGTTTTATGAACAAATTGAAACATGAATCTGATAAATACTTCGATTATCTATCAAACCCACCAAATTTCTTCAAGAACCATTAGGTATTGAATAAATTAATGAAAGAATGGCGGAAATTTTCAAAAACCTAAAAAGTCCGCCATTTCGATCCAAGAAACTCCTTTTTTTTTATGTTTCAATCCAAATTTCTTGTTTTATATATTCTAGATAGTGATATACGGCAATAGATCACGAAAAAAAGACAAAAAAAAGGCACGAAAACGAATAAAAAAAATTAAAAATTTAGATTCAAGAATGCATGCTGCAAATAACGGCCACGATTTCAAAATAACTGCCGTAATGGGTACATAACCATTATTTTGTAAAAAACGACCGTCATATTGTCTAACCGGTTCGATTAGCTTAAAACCAGCCGGTTCTACTAAAAAATGACCGGTTCAACCTCCAACCGGCCTGTTTTGGGCCGAAAAATTTTTGGGGGTGTACCCTAGGCTACTTGTACCCCAAAACCGGCCGTAACCGGAGCCGAAACCCTGGTGATTCCGATCTAACAGGACGGTTCCAGTTCGAACCCGCCGGTTTTGCGAACAATGGTTACACTAGAGCAGGTACCGCCCATCCTTTCCTCAATCCAGCCCTTCCCCTGGCCAAAGCCAAGGATATTACTTTGGGCATCAATGGTGGCAGCCTCTAATTGGGCTCTATGGATTGAACACAACAACAGAATCTTCCAAGGAGAATACTCCCCGTGGATCAAAATTTTCACCAAGCTCAAATCCATGGTCATTTTTTGGGCAACCAATAACCACAGGTTTAAAGGAGTTCCCACTTCGGCTTTTTTCCAGGATTGGAGCACAGTACTTAGGCATAATCGCAAACGACCTGCTCGGGCTTCCCTTTGGATTCCCCCCCCCACACACACACAGGGCCAGCTTAAGCTGAACTTTGATGGATGCTCCCTCGAAAATCCAGGACCATCCAGAGTGGGAGTCATCATTAGAGGCCATCTAGGCACTACTGTGGCTACTACTTCCATACATATCGGCCATGCTAACTCAATGGAGGCCGAGGCGATAGCTCTCTTGGAGGGGCTCAAGCTCCTCCAACCTCTCTGTCTGAACTCCACCACGCGATTGAGGGAGATTCGAAGAATACCATCCCTTGGGCCCAGAGACCTTCTTCATCAACCCCCCCCCCCCCCCCTAGTCCCTTGTCCACTTCTTTGATCAGATTTATTACCTGTGCAGGGATATGGATGTCTCTTGGATGCATGCTTGGCTAAAGAAGCGGCACCAATGGACGAATTTTAGAACTTTCTGCATTGGTTTTTGTTTGGATTTTTTGGATCAATTTCTTTTTCTAGGTTGCTGTTTCCATACTGTAACCTTCAAAAAGAAGGCTTTGGTATTCCACTTTTGTTTTTATTTTCTTCCCTAGAGCATCCGCCCTTGTGGATTGCCTAGGTCTCTTGTACTTATCTTTTTCCATAATTTAAGGTTAACATTATAAAAAATAAATAAACAATCAAAGAAAAAAAAAAGCGCGATGTTTGTGCTCCAAGAGTTTGGAACCTTTTGAGACCTTCAAGCAAGGCGATGGGTTTGATTGTTGCTGCATCAAAAATGCTGATACACACTGAGAATTACCTTATGGTGTTTCCTTGCTCATCTA